TAAATGGCAAAAACATGCCTATATTCATTTTACCTGTCAGTAATGTCAAACATGAGCATGGTGGTGAAAGAAGTCTACATATCAATATATTTTTTTTTTAAGTGATTTAGATTATTATTGTTCAACAAAGTTAATTAACCTGTCAAGAAAACCTCAACTTAGCAGGGAAGAATTATTTGCTGGAATTTCTTTCTTCTCTACAGGGCTTGCATTTCTGATAAGGATAGATTTTTTTTACATCTTCTCGTTCACAAAAAAAAATCATCTGTAGAAAATCACAGTATTAAAATTATACTGGCACAGCCCCAGACATAATAGGGTTCAGGGTGAATGGTAACGTTCTTTTAATTATTTTTTTTAATCCATGGCCTACAGAGGGAAGTTCTCTGATGAATTCCTTGAAATGGCTGAAAAATTCTTTAAAGATGAAACATCATATACCTAATTTGAAAGTCTAGTTGTTATGATTATGCAGTAGTATTGAGGAACAAAGATGTTTAAAGACAGTGAAGAGGAAGAAGTTAGTTGTTGTATGTTTTTCCAAAAGTTTTAAGGATGAAAGTAGTGGCAAAAAGGCTACACTTCAGAGGGCACATGGCCACAGAAATCCTTCAGTGACTGCAAGGTGATTTGGATGATATAAATACTACAGTTCCTTTGTCCTTACCTGACAGCAATTTAAAGACATATTCATTCCCAAGTATGTGTACCCTCCTCCCAATTAAAAGTGTTGGAAGATAACTTTCCGACTCTGCTATTCTACCTTCTCTTCCAAATGCATAAATTGCATATAACATAAGCATGTACATATTTCAATTCCTAATTTAACTGATCCACAGCATACACAAATTTGATATTTTTTATACATCATTTAACCTCTCCATTGGCACTTTCAGTCACTCATGTACACTCATAAACTGGTCCTAGGAAAAAAACTTCATTCCTTGTCACCTGTCCTTTATGAATCTAGTGAAGATGCTAAAGAGCATATCCTTACCTGTTCCATACACTTCTTCACAGCATGGATAGATTCATGCATTGCATATTCTTCATTGTCAGTTTATATGGTTGCTCTTTTTACCCCATTGACAACATTGCTCAGTACAGAACTATTGGAAACTGTTTTACTATATTCACCATATTTTCTTTGTGAGTAGCAGGCTGGCACCAATGACTCATTCATGTTTGGAATTGGTATTTTTGTATGAAAAAAGGAAGATACAGTTGAGTAAAAGTGGGGTAAAAATTCCTCAGCTAAAAAGTCATAGGTTGCGTCTACATTAGCATTTTGGTTCAGAACTTCCTTGTAACTCTTAAATGTGGTAAGTGCTTTTGCTATGAACAAAGGAAGCACATCGAGAAGCCAAACCCTAGGTGCACAGAACATGTGTTCTATCTCCTTTTGGGGACAAAAAGGGCAAAATCATTGACAGGTCCTTTTCACAACTTAGAACCATATGACATTCAACTCAGAAGACCAAACCAGATACTGTCCAAAAAAAATTCTCTGAATCATATATAATGCTGATATAAAAAATTCAGAACCAATTGTCTCACAGTCTGCACTTTCCTGCTGCATTAGTTGTTACAGAAGGTAAAGATAGAGTATATGAGGTTTACTATTTCTCTGAGGAGAAGAAATTAAAGGTATTCCTGATACAATTGCATAGAGAGTATGAACGCATGCAGACATTTAAAGCTCACTCCAAGAAAATCAGCTTTTTTCTGCTGCCTGTCTGTACTGAAAACTCCTCTAGTATTAGTCATGTGTTGGAAACACAATTGGTTGAAAATAATCTTTTTTTTCCAGTTTTTCATGTAGATTTCATTGATGTGATGTTCTAAAGTCGCGTTCGGTCATGCAATCAAAACAACCGAATAAACTCAGGAAAATTAGACATCCCCCCACAAAAAGGAGCATAAAACTTTGTACATTACATTACATTAAAAATGGGAAAGGTCCAAGAAAGAAATCAGAATGCTTTGGGATATCCTAAGAAAAGAGCTGCTGCTTTTAATATAAGAATAATTGCATCCAACAGAAATGCTTTTCAAAACATGTTATGTTTCTGTTTCATAGCTTTACTTCATTGCTTTTTTGACTAAGTTTACTGAATTGGTAACCTAAATAATACAGATACATTTTAAAAGCCAACAAATAACCTGAGAAAATATATTTCAGCACATATTGATCCCCACCACTAAAACATCTATCCAGTCACTTTAAAAATTGTGCCATTTTCTGGAAGGTATATTGGCAGGAGACAATATATGCTGATATACATTAACAAACAAACAGAAAAAAGTCCTGATCCTCAAATCATGATGTTGCAGAAGTAATGATCTTCTGATAGTCCTTCACATTTGAGTTAATAAAAGTCAGAAAACAGTGCTAATGAAGAAGGGGAAAAAAATCTCAGTGTTAGAGAAACATTAGGAAATGTTGGGAAATCTTATTCATCACTCACATATCAGTTAAAAATTCTGAAAGTACTATGGAATTAACAAAGCAGACTCTGTTTCTGCTCTGGGAAATGCTCAGTTGAATAAACAGCTGACTACAGGCATTAAAATAAAGAAATAAAAATATCTTCAGTTTTTTATACTTATTGAAATATGTTTCAATAATCATTGAACAAGTCAGGAAATTAAAGCAAATACAATTGTCATAAAAATAAAATTATGTAAATAACATAAGTTTTCATAAAACTAAAACAGAACAATTAATTTCTTCATCAAATATTTAAATATTTTTCCCCAAGGAAAGTCAATACCAGAATGCACAGATTTGTCAGTCTTTTTTTATGAATAGGATATATCTACTCTATTTCTCTAAATATTTCTCTAGGATTTATAACACAAGACTTTTCTTCAGAAACTGATTTAATGTTTTCAGTATAGAAAAAGATCAAGCAAAATAAATTGTGAAGGCAGTCTGTAACCTTGGAGACACAACAGTCATGGGTTTTGTCATTGACTGTTACTTTGTTTTAAAAGACTAAGTGATTTTTTTCATTATAAAATCCTGTGAAACATTTATTTAAGACAACCACAACAGAATTACTTCTGTTTTCTTTATTTTTTCAATTTGAACATTATCTTTTCTCACCAGCTGTGGAGAACAAGAATATTGATCCATAACCCAATTTCCAGCTACATTTAATAAAAGATCAAACCAAGATCATTACATTAATATGATTACTCACATGGTACTACATTATTATTTATGTATTCTGAGGAAAAAAAAAAAAGGAGTTTCAGAAAGGAGGGCGTGTTCTAATTCTCTTTGCCATAAAGTACCATCCTTTTCCATATAATAAAAGAAGCAGGAACAGAAATAGAAAGATGAAAAAGGGCTGTGAAAATTATCAACATATTCTGACACTGTAACAACTGTCCTTAAAATCATGCACCGCTGTCCACAGAGTTCAGAAATTCCTTGTGGTGTAATACAATTTAGATTGTAGTCAATATTTAATTAGGTTCAACACTATCTAGTTTTAGGTTCTGATGCTGTTACTTATACACTTATTTTTTCCATCCTTCATAAATCTTTCAAATTGCACATAACTGGAATGAAAATTATGTTGTTTAACACAATAATTAAACACAATGATTTGAGTATCACTTTTGAAAAACTGACTTGCATTTTTAAACAAAATACTTTGCAAATAATACTACTTTATCCTGAAGGATTTCATTATCATCTAAGTGTAGTTTTAAGGATATCTTCAATGCTTAAAACAGAAATACACCGGTAGCCACTTGAGTTCAATCTACATTTTTCAGCAAGTTTAAGTGGAAAGGCTCTGAGATAAATGATAAAAAAGGTTTATGGCTCTGAGCAGAAAAGTTTTAGAAGTAGAAAGAGAAACTGAAATTTCTTTCTTAGTATTTCAGTGATTGAAAACAAACATCAGAATTTATTCACAGGTTGCACAAAGATCCATTTCTCAGATTATTAGAATACCAACCCTCTCTGCAGATCTCCCCACTGCATTGTATCTCCTTTCTCCCACATTCTACCATTTCTTCCATTTCCTCCACCTTCTAACAACATTTTCTTTCTCAGCCTTCTTAAAAAAATATCTGACTTCCAACTTCTCATTAGCTGAGCCCACCCCTCTATCTTAAGTCTCAAGTTACTTGTTGAAGAAGGAAGAATTGAACTGAGTAGACTGAGTCTTTCCAGGAAGCTCATTCCTGCAGTGATGAGTGCACATCAGGCAGTGCTGATGCAAGAGCAATAATTTCCACTATCATCTGCTTTTTTTTTCTTATTATTTTTCCTTACTTTTTTAACAAACTATATGTGCTTTTTGTATATGTATGATGTAACCTACATTGTATTTCTGTTAGTAGAACTTTTACTCCTTCTGTCTTCAACAATTTGCCATCACTAAAGCTTTGAAGACAAGTATCTGAAGATGTAATATAGTCCTACTAGACTGATACAAAACAATCTCTTACATTGCTGTTTTGCCCTCTAGTCATGTAGTTCTTTTAACACTTTTTCTTAACTGTTTATGTTGCTGGACATTACAGTATGCAAACCTAGTAACAATGAATCTCTTCCGAGAAGTAAAAAAAAAGACTTGTTCAGATTATTCTGAAAGTCTCTTTTGCAAGTGTATGGATTAATTCAATAACATAACAAATACTTCAGGTGTACTATGCAGATGTTTTACTGAGGGTATATATTAAAGCTGACACATCTAGAATTAATCAGTGTTGCTGTTTATGTATAGGTCTACTTTAAAAACATCTGCAGCAATCCATGGGTTACATAGGTTTTTCATGTTGGGAAGATATTGAAAGAGAGATTCCATTCATGGAAAGGTAATCATAATTTGCTAAGAAAAACAATCCAGCTACACACATTTTTAAAATGCAAAACTCTCTTCAGCGTCTGTAGTAACACAGACAACTTGATTTGCTTTGCTTAGTTTTGTCTGCAGGAAAGAAAGGAAACAGGCAAACCATGTCACTAGTATCCATACCTAAACATCTGGTCTCAATTCCGCTCCAGAGTCCAGAAGACAGGCACTCCCTCACTGCAGAGCCCACTAGCATGTATCCTGATTCACAAGTAAATATAGCTGTAGATCCATACGTGATTTGAGTTCCAATCTTATTCCCATTTGGTGGTGTAGGAAGCTCTCCACAAGAAATAACTTCATGGCAAAATCAAAACAAAACAGAAATGCACAGCTGAGTATTGCAATTGTAGATGCAACAGTACTTATCAACCTGTCAACCAGATAAATAAATTTCGTAGCTTAAAGTATTTTCCTCTTGTAGAAAAAATAGATTAAGAACTCCACATACAAAGACTATTACTTCCCAGAAATAAAACTTTAAGAAAGAAGAGGGCACGACAATTGTCTCTGTAAAGTTAAAACCCCCCAGCTTACGTTCAGAACATTATTGCTATTTAATTACTTTGGTTTTAGCAATGACTTTCTCTTAATCTTGGAATAACAAAACTGTTGCCATTTTAAAACTTATCTTCGTGCTTCTTTGGGAAGATGTCATTTTTATCCTCTAGTTCATAATGAAATGGTTGCACTTGCATTCACACAATGTGTCGTTAGAATAAGTGAACGGTGTGCATGGAATTCATTGCTATTAATTTACAATTCAAAGTATTCTTTCATTCAAAATCATACATTTTCTTTAATAATTTTCTTTTAAAAAATGGCAAAAAGAAATTTACTCTTAGTAAACAAGGTGGTAGATTATCAAAGGGTGAAAACAGGTAGTGAAATTCATGCTTAAAAAAAAAGGTAATATTGCAAACAAAACTTCCCAAAATATAGTGAAAAATGTTTGTCTTTTAAAGAAAAAATGATTACAAATACATTTATAGTACATAAAATATCTATAAACATAGACAATGATGTAAATACAGACATATATATAAATATTTTTAACACTAGCAGGTTTATATATTGCAATTATATTTTAAAACTCCTCTAAATTACAAATGAAATTTTCAGTAGCTTATAAAGACCTTAAAATTAAGGTTATTGTCCAATATAACTTATCTGCTAGATTTGCATTTGCAGACCCTTTTTTCATTAGTTTCAGACATATCCTCAGTGAATTCTAAATATATTCCAACCCACAGTTACCTGGCTCATCTACACTCTTTTTTCCCCCTGCTTTTTAGATATGTGTGGATTTATACATGTATGTGCAGATACATACAGTTTAGATACATGCACTAAAGCCACGGTCACGTGGTATTTCAAAAAGAGAAAGATTTCTGGGGTTTCACAATATACCCAAAACTGCACATTTTTTGAAAACAGATGTCCAAATTCAAATATCTAAAGAAAGCTGATTTTCACAGGAGTGGGTCAGGGAAGCATAACTGCAGCTACTCATTCAGCTTGTTAAAGCATCTGACTATTTATTTTATCAAAAAGTAGCCACTGCAGGTTTTCAGGATGCTAGCTCAGGGTAGGAATGATGTGAACTTGCACACTACATGGTAATCAGCTAAGTTTTTCTATTTTTATAAACCATATAGGATTCCTGACCCAGAAAAACATATAGGCAAATGTTCTCTATTACTTGTTTGTAACTTTAGAGATTTAGCAACTTTTAAAATCCAGATCTGTTCTTACAGATACTTTCTTGTCACTAAAGCTAATGGATTGTGTTTATTATAATAGCCTTTAAGATACCCAAGAATCCCATCCTGGAAACATTTTTGGTAATAAATTGATTCCAATATTTAATTAATTAATTGCTAATTCAGCCAAACAAAATACTTTTATCTGAAGTCTGTACAGCAGATGCAGATACAACATGTACTCACTTTGGCAATAAGGCCGCTCATTTCTCCAACTCCAGGTGCCATTAGCAAGACATTCAATAGATGCTGGTCCCAAACCATAATACCCTGGATCACAGCTGAAAACTACTTTTGTTTTGTATTCATAATGTGAACCATTCACTATTTTCCATCTTCCATGTTCCAGTGTAAAAGAATTGATGCTCGGACACGTAACAACTTCCAAAATAACAAAAACACATAGTTATTTGTGGCTTGGTATAGGAAAATGGAGAAAATCTGTACCATTATTAATTCAGAAATATATTTTAAATACAGTGACATAATATTTGTAGAGTAAGTCTATATCTGAAATTGCCTGTGGTTAGCAGGTACAAGTTGTCTCATTTAATTAATAATGATCATCAGCACAGTCAGAGCACTGACTGCGATGCAATTGGTGTGGATAGAGACTATACCATGGCTGAACTAACTGTAGAGTGCTAGTCATGGAACTTCTGTGACAATTTACACCAGACATCAGAATCTTTACTAAAACACTAACTATGTTTCAATATAGCGACTATGTTGTAACCATGTAAATTCATGAGATCTTATAAACTTGCTCAGAGAAGTTGCACATTGGTGACAGATAAAATAGTATCCTAGGGTGGTTTTTCAGCAGCTACACATTTTTATATCATGTCTTAATTCCATGAATTCTTCCTCCAAAATAAAAAAAAAAGTTCTACCATGCTCATCTAATAGAAAAACGTTAACAAGGATAATATTTTTTTCAATGATCTAAAAGCAAAGAGTAAAATCTTTGCTGGATACTATTTTCTTTCTCTCCATTTGGAATGGTTCTTTCAGACAGAGGAAAAGGCGTGAGGGAATGTAATCTAAAAGAACACGAAAAAGAAAAAAAAAACAAGAAAAAGAAAAAAAAAGAAAAAAAAGAAAAAAAGAAAAAAAAGGGGGAAATCCTTGAAGAATACTCCAAGGTATCTTTCCTTTCCTTTCCAAAATTCATTGAGTGAGATAATCCAAATTTTAACATGCATCAGACTCTGATATTTCTGTATCTGTTTTATGAACACATGGGTTTACATACTCCATTTATAACCGGTGGCATCTACTTCTCTGGGACTAAACATGCATTTTTTCCTCAGTGATGTTCTCCCAAGTTTAGATGGTGTAGGTTTATAATGATGGGTTGAATCTAAATAATAAGTAGCAGTTTTAAATAAGTATTCCAAAGTAACAGAGACTGCAATTCTGGATAGTACATAGGGTTTGTTAACAGTATATGATTTGTGCAGCTCTCACTGAAGAGATGGCTTTTGTATAAACCTCTGCAACCATTAACTTTGATTTAGATATAAATTAATCATCAGGTGGAAGGTATTCTATAATCTCTAGTGTATTTCTTCCGTGACAGAATGTTTCATTATATATATCAGATATATACATTTCATAGAATCATAGAATGTTCGGGTTTGCAGGGACCTCTAGAGATCGTCTAGTCCAACCCCCCTGCCAGAGCAGGGTCCCCTAGGGCAGGGCACAAAAGAATGCATCCAGGCAGGTTTTGAGTCTCCAGAGAAGGAGACTCCAGAACCTCTCTGGGCAGCCTCTGCCAGTGCTCTGTCACCCTCACAGTAAAGAAGTTTCTCCTCAGGTTGAGGTGGAACTTGCTGTGTTCTAGCTTATACCCATTACTCCCTGTCCTATTACTGGGCACCACCAAAACCAGACTGGCCCCTTCCATCACATCCATCTCTCAGATTATACACACTAATAAGATCGCCTCTTAGTCTTCTCTTTTTGAGACTAAACAGTCCCAGTTCTCTCAGTCTCTCTTCATAGGAGAGATGTTCAAGTCCCTTAATCATCCTCATAGCTCTCCGCTGGACTCTCTCCAGTAGGTCCCTGTCTCTCTTGAATTGGGGAGCCCAAAACTGGACACAGTATTCCAAGTGTGGTCTCACCAGGGCAGAGTAGAGGGGGAGGAGCACCTACCTAGCCCTGCTGGACACACTTTTCTCAAAGCACCCCAGGATCCCATTGGCCCTCTTGGCCACAAGGGCACATTGCTGTCCCATGGACAACTGACTGTCCACTAGAACTCCAAGGTCTTTCTTCACTGGGCTGCTTTCCAGCAGGACATCTCTTAATCTGTACTGGTGCCTGGCGTTATTTTTCCCCAGATGCAGGACTCTACACTTGTGCTTATTGAACTTCATGAGGTTCACCTTTGCCCGGCTCTCCAGCTGGTCCAGATCTCTTTGGATGGCAGCATAGCCTTCCTGTGTGTCAGCCACCCTCCAGTTTTGCATCATCAGCAAACTTGCTGAGAGTGCATTATATCCCCTCATCCAGATTGTTGACAAAGATACTGAATGAATATCTATTTCTATTCAATACTAGCAATTATTCGAAGATTAAAGTAATCTGAAGCTGAAAGTTAAATGTGAAGAATTGTGCCCTGGATAACTAAACGAAATATACAGCTCAGTGCTTACTCACTGGAGAGTTTTTACATGTTACTTACCTACACAGCGAGGTGTTTTATTGTGATTGCTCCAGGTACCATCCGGCTGGCAGATTGCAGTTGTAAGTTCCTTTGCTGACAATCTATATCCATCATTGCAAAAATAAGTGACACGGGTGCCAACTAAGTAATCTGTAGTTAATATTCCACCATTTAATGGAGCCTTAGGAAGTCCACAAGATATTGCTAAGTAAAAAGAAAGATTTAGTTATTTTATTTCGTCTTCACTATAAGCTTACACTCATCTCAAAGGGTTTATGCATTGTAACATCAATGGTCTTAAATCCATAAAAATGACTAACTCGTTAAGTTTTAAGTTTTAAGCCTACAAATAAATTCCCTTAAAATTTTAGGGAATAAAATTCCAACATGTTTTTGCCCTTTGATGGAGAAGGTTAAAAATAAGAACAGTGGTTCATAATTCTGCATCTATCTATTCAAAATGCAGAAGATAATCAAAGAAGAGGGAATAGAGACTATGTGGAAAAAATATGATCAGCATGGTTGAATGCGTAAAGCACCAGTCTGAGACATTAGGAAACTAGCTGCACTTCGTATTTCTTCCATCAGATGTACTGTGTGACCTCTGGTAAAGCACTAAAATTAACTTTCTGCATTCTATTTTTCCTCCTGCAAAACAGAAAGAAAATAACCTTTTGAAAATGTTGAAATTGACAAATGAAAGTGTAAGTCACTTTTTTTTGTATAATTTTTATTGTTCAGCGGAAGGAAACCACCAAGATAATATCTATCTCTAAATAATATCTGTTTCTAAATAATGCTCGGTCTTTTTGGGGAATAAAATAAAAACTAAGTCTTTTACACGCTTTAACAACAGTCAGATCTGAAAAAAAAAAAGAGCTTAAACACTTAACTCTTAAGTCCTTCACTTTGAAGTGAAATCTCAAACCCTAAGAAACCTTCTATCCTGCCTACACAGAGACATGAATATTTAAGGCTCTCAGACTATGTATAAATATCTGATAAAAAAGAATAATATACTTTTGCCCCTATTGTGGGCTGATCTGATATAAGACAGGTCTGTGTCATAAGCAATATAATAACAGTGTGGCACTGTACTAAAGCTAATAACCACAGCTTGGACACAGGTAAAGCACTAATGCCATCACAATTTGTAGAATAGAAGTGATATGATCAAGGTTAAAAAATGCCAAAACTGCCATAAAAAGAAACTGTATGTGACATGTAATTTTATTTTATTTTATTTTATTTTATTTTATTTTATTTTTTTAAAAAAAGCACACACTGTTGAAAAGATCACAGAAAACTATTATCAATTTGCTCATCACCTTCTCTAGGCAACCATAAAAATATGTATCTTATGGCTATCACAATATCTATTGCCAACTAGAAACAAACATATGTTTGAAATGAAGCAAGAAAACAGTGATTAGGAGAAAATGAATGCCCCAAGAGAGTCATTGAATTTCATCTTCCAGAGGGTATGAGGACATGATCCCAGAGGGATGAAAAGCAACAAGTTAATTAAAACAGAAGGTTCATCTCTCACTTCTTACTAAACAACTGACAAAGCTGAACTATTTCACCTGACATCACTGAAGAAACAACCTAAACCTGCATGACACTAAAATGAAAACATTTTATTGTATCTACAATATATTATACCTCAAGTTTATTACACCTCAAATTCTTCAATAGCTTTCATTGCAGCAGCAAACAATAGGCAGATCTATCCATGCCAACAAGAGGATCACCAAAAGCTGTCACAACCAAGGTAGAATCAAATAACACTGTTTACTGCATAACTGGCCAAGCTAGTTTCTTCCTTCAGAAGCACATAGTAATAATTAAAAGAAGTTTCAGACAATAATGGAGTTTCTAGAACGAGATTCACTGCCAGTTATATCAGGGCCAGCATTCAGCA